TTTTTATTAATCTAGTTGTGTTTTAGTTTTACTAGTTTATGTTAATTATGTTATGNTGTCAAAGAGGTTAACGCGGCTTTATTTGCCGTCACCTATGTTAAGAGTCTTTCTTCGCCGAAATTTTTTTACGCCTCTTTTTTCGCTATCAACTTTTGAGCTCGCGTCTTTATTCTAGTGATGATATGTATGTATGTGTAAAGAGACATATGTACATATGGATAAGTCTGTACAGTAAAATGGATCATTATACGAATTTAATTTGTTTTTATTAATCTAGTTGTGTTTTAGTTTTACTAGTTTATGTTAATTATGTTATGTTATAAATTTGACATTGAAAACAAATATTAAAACTCAAAAAAATGTTTGCTAGGTTTTGGTTGGTTATGGTAGGAAAGTTTGGTAGGAAAAAAATTTGTCTGTGGCAACGCTGGTATAGATGCTTGCATACGCGGTGGCTCAACCGCAGCCAAATAGTGCAATCATTGTAATGATTTGTTTTGGAAGTATGCCTCATTGTTTTTCACTGCTGTTGGTGTCCATATAAATGGCCTATACTTTATAATTTGTCTAGGCTTTAAATTATAGATCCTAAATATACATAAATATGTATATGCATATAAGTTTAAGCTAGGCTTAATTAAGCTGAAAGAATTAAATAAATCTTATATATAAAAATAAGTGCACGTTTTTGGTGTGACCTCATAACTTGAGAACGACTTCCCCGAATGCAACCAAATTTATGCGGCATATTCGGGCTATCATGCAGATGGTTTTCCTGAAGTTTGCTTGAATTCGGAAAAGGGGGCGTGGCGCCTCTATTTTATATATAAAAATTAGTGAGTTAGCTTATAACTTGAGAACGGCTTCACCGAATTCAACGAAATTTATATAGCTTATTCGGGCCATGTTGTGTTGTAGGTTCAATAAAAACGTCTTTGTTCACTGATGCTTACAAGTCTANTTCGCCTAGAGATGACAGTCGCAATCGTACACATACATACATGCATAGGGTTGCCAACGCTAGGCTAATACAGTCATCACATCTCCCTTCTTTGAGGAACTTAAATTCTACTACATGTTTTGTTTCAATAATCTATTCATTACTTTACAAAATCATTTGGGTCTTCATTAGATCATTTAACATCAAAGTTTAGATAATCATTACATTGTTTAATATAATAATTTAGATAATCATTACATTGTTTGATATAATAATTCAGATAATCATTACATTGTTTAATATAATAATTCAGATTATCATAAAATTGTTTAATATGATTATTCAGATAATCATAACATTGTTTAATGTAATAATTTAGATAATCATTTAATTATTTCACATAATCTTTTAGGTAATCGGGTCGTTTAATCTCCCTACCCGCCCGTGTTCGCGTATCTGTGCTAGGAGCCGGTTCTGTCGATACATTTACTTTTCTAGCAGGCGAGCTAGCTCCTGGGTCTCTATCTGGAGGATCGCTTGCTTCAAATTGGGCCCTTTCGCTATTAAAATCATTTACATTGGTATTTTGACCCTCATATAGATCATCGTTTTTCCGATTGTCATCATAAGTCGGACCATACAAGTGTCTCCGATTTCTCTCTATCTTATTTCCACTAGACAACTCCACCTCATACGATCTAGGTCTGTCGCAGATCTTAGTTATTCTAGCAGGAACTAACGGTTTATTCAAGTCTTTCCTTACGTAAACTTTATCATTTATATTCAAAGGTCTTAAATTGTGGGCACTTCTATCATAATAGTCTTTTTGCCTAAGTTGTTTACTAATTAATTTCTCTTTAAATTCTCTATTCTCTCTTTCTCTTTCATAATTTATTTTATTAGGTAAAATTCCTCTGATTTTCCTACCGAACATGATTTCATTGGGAGACTTTAATCCCTCGCCTATCGGTGTATTTCTGTATTCTAACATTGCCAGATTTGGATCTTTACCTGGATCGTCATCCAGTTTGTTAAACATTCTTTTGATGGTGCCTATGTGCCTTTCAACCATTCCGTTCGATTGAGAATACTTTGCACTGGACGTTTTCCAGGTGAAGTTCCAATCTTTGGCAAACTTTAAGATTTCCACGCTGTTCAGTTGGGTGCCAGGATCTGAATATACAATGTACGGAATGCCATGTCTAGCAAATTGTGATTTTAATACGGCTAACACCGAACTACTAGACATGTCTCGCAATTTAGCAACTTCTACATACTTGCTGAAATAATCCACTATTAGCAAAAATTCTGAACANCAGGATCTGAATATACAATGTACGGAATGCCATGTCTAGCAAATTGTGATTTTAATACGGCTAACACCGAACTACTAGACATGTCTCGCAATTTAGCAACTTCTACATACTTGCTGAAATAATCCACTATTAGCAGAAATTCTGAACCATGATAGTAAAATAAGTCTACACCTAACGTTTGCCATGGTCCATCCGGGACCTCCCTATTTATTAGAGTCTCTTTAACGTTAGCTTTTCTATATTTAGTGCAAATTGCGCAATTATCTACCATGTCTTCGATTTCTTTGCTCATGAAAGGCCAAAACAAAATTTCTCGAGCTCGTATTTACATTTTTCTTTTCCAAGATGATTAAAATGTATTAATTTTAACATT